TAATTCTGGAAGAGAGACCATTTACCTCTATAATTCTATATATAATCTGGCTCCTCTTGAGCTGGTATTCATCAAAAGACACCTTGACCTCAACATTTTAAATGTTACCAGATAATTCAAAAGACCTCCAACTCTTTCCTTGCTTAAGATCAACAACTGTAAGAAATACCAAAATTGAATTAAAGACAAAAACAAACAAGGAGTTGAACCAGTTCAGTGTGATGTTTTGAATAACGACAAATTCCCAAGATGTTTTAGGGACACAGAAACTTCTGGATATGAACTTAATTTCATAAGACAAATGGAGACATTTTTCCTGATTTACAAATAGCAGTGTGTGCCTTGAATGAGGACAGGGATACAGGTCAGAAAGTGACATTTTTTTTCCAGCTTGTCACTCAACACCTTCTCTCAGAGGATCTTTGCTACTTAATCTATGTGTCTCCATGTGTCGAAGAGCTCTTGTAGTTCAAAATTTTATGATAACAAAAGGTATAGCAGTGATTACCTCTGGGCAGGAGGTTAGGGATCTGGGGTCAGTGTATATAGGGAGGGGCGCTAGGAAACTTGTGGGGGCTGCTATGAGGCCATTTGTCAGCCACCTCCCACTTTCAGGGAAGCTGTCCCAAGACAGCTGTCGTGAGGGGCGCCTGGGTGGCTCAGTTGGTTAAGCATCTGCTTTCGGCTCAGGTCATGATCCCCGGGGTCCTGGGATTGAGCCCCGCATCGGGATCCCTGCTCAGCAGGGAGTCTGCTTCTCTCTCTCTCTCTTGCCTTCTGCCCTCCCCCTGCTCACACTCTCTCTCTCTAAAACAAATAAAATATTTTTTAAAAAGAAAAAGCAGATTTTCTATTTTAAAAAATAATTATAAAAAAATAAATTAAAAGCTTGTTGTTTCTCGATCAGCCCAACGTGCCCGCTGCGGGACAGGCCACACAGGTATCTCCTGACCCTCTTCACGTCACTCTGCTGGAATTGGGACTCGGAACGAACACAAGGCAATGCGGATACTCTGGCTGCCGTGAATGACAAAGCCATTTGTCCCAGTCCAGGAAACTGTGGCAGGCTAACCCATTAACTCACAAGTAGGGGGAAATCTCAGACTCACCACAGCTCCTGCCACCACCGTAGGTGTCCCCAGGAACACGGCTTTCTCCCTGGGCTCAGGCCATGTCTGCTGAGGCTGGCTGGGTCATTCATAAAAGCCTCAAGAATCATGCTAGAAACCCCCTCAGGTAGAAGCTGGTGGCGGAACAGACCGTAGCAGCAGGTGCATTTCCCCCCGATCCCCAGGACGAGCACCAGGACGATGGCTCTGGGGAGAGGATGCTGGCTTGGTTTAAGACCCACTACCTGCTCTTCGGCAACTTTCTTGGGCTTCTTTGCAGCTTCTAGGGGAAGAAAGGGAAGACACACAGGCTTTGTTCCCCTGGGACAGCTCATGAGAACGGGCCACTGCTAGAGGATGTGAGAATACCTCTATGCAACAGTCTGGCGCCGCGGATATCATCCCTCCTGGCCACCAGCTCCCAGCGGCTGTCCCCTCACCAGTCCACCGCTGGGCCATGAGGCCTCCCGAGGTCAGCACTCTCTCTGCTGAGGCTATCTGCCCACTCTCAAGCACAGGCTCAACCCCTGGATTCGTCTGCTCAACTAACTAAAAATGAAAACTATCAGTATGCCGACTGTGAGAAATGGAATCGGGAAGATGGGGACCAGAGGACCCAAGGATGCTTCCTGGATACAGCACTGACCACTCAGCTCCCTCTGGAAATCCCAAGGCTAAAGCCTCAGGAGCAGGAATAGCTGGGAGGGCACACGACCCTTACCATCTCAGCCCTGAGCCCCTTCACAGCCACACACAGAATGAGGCCCCAGGACACGCCTTAGCTACCTAACACCCTGACTGCTTTAGACCAGACCCCAGGAGAAGCCAGTAGTCAACATCTAGACCAATCTCAAGTCGGCTGCGAAGTGCAGCTTCTGGGCATCTCCACGACTGCCCCGCTAGCCCAGGACTTCAGCATCCAGCCTAGCTCTGCTCCCCCCACTCCCCTGCACCCTGAGCTCCCCCCACTCCTCTGCACCACTGTGGCTGGTGAGACGCCTGCACTCTACCCTCTAGTGGCCACAGGGGGAACAGCAGGAAGCCGAATCTGGCCGTTGTCCTCAAGGGGAACCGAGATGCGCAAGGTCACTAGCTGGACTGTCCTTTCTCTTCCTCCCATCTTTTTGTGGATGGTTGCAAATCTTTTATAGTGATGCAAAAGCCTAAGCCACGTTTCTACAATCATTTAAATTGTTACTTCAGTCAAAATTCTATTGGATCCTTTTTTTTTTTTTTTTTTTAAAGATTTTATTTATTTATTTGAGACAGAGAGAATGGGAGAGAGAGAGCACATGAGAGGGGGGAGGGTCAGAGGGAGAAGCAGGCTCCCTGCCGAGCAGGGAGCCCGATGCGGGACTCGATCCGGGGACTCCAGGATCATGACCTGAGCCGAAAGCAGTCGCTTAACCAACTGAGCCACCCAGGCGCCCTCTATTGGATCCTTATGTGTATGGTTCTCTCTGTACACTCCCTGAATTCAGTTATTATTATCTTGGCAGAAGACGTTAGTCATAACCCCCACTACCAGAGAGTGCTGTCTATGGGCTACGCCAAGGAGCCCCTCCCCCAGGAAGGCCACGCTAATATCATCCTTTTCTGCGTGGGCCAGGATGCAAAGGTTTGGAAACACTGATCCAGCAAGATTCAAAAAAGGGTTTTGAATTAAATCAAATAAGATGCCATGGGGACGCCTGGGTGGCTCAGTCGGTTAAGCGTCTGCCTTTGGCTCAGGTCATCATCCCGGGGTCCTGGGATCGAGCCCCGCATCGGGCTCCCTGCTCCGCGGGAAGCCTGCTTCTTCCTCTCCCGCTGCTTGTGTTCCCTCTCTCACTGTGCCTCTCTCTGTCAAATAAATAAATAAAATCTTTAAAAAACAAAACAAAACAAAAAACAAATAAGATGCCATGAATGAATTAATGAATGAAATCAGAGTACTTGCTTTGCGTCTTAATAACTGCAAATCACCAGCCTCTCCAAGCCTTGATTTTCCAACTGCGATAGAAAGAATTTACAGGATTATGAGGATTAACAAGGAATGACATAAGTAAAAGCTATAAAACATTATACAAATTTAATTATTACCTTGGACGTTAAGAGTTACACCACCGTTTCCCTAACAGACCACTCCCTTCAATCTCACCTTTCTGCCATATACCCTGCTTTCATCAACAAACTATTCTTCAGACGCCTTTTCCCCCCAAAATCACTCTCCACATTAAAAAATGTCGTCAGCTCCCCTTTGCCTACTCAGTCAAGTCTAAACTCCCACCACAAGGATCTCAGTCATCTGGCCGTCACTCCCTCTGTTTTCCGTGAACCCAACGGATTGGCGGGGGGAGGTGCCCAAGTCCAATCTGTCAGGTACACCAGCCACTAGGGGGCGTAAGGTCCCAGGGTCGGCCTATATTGCAGAAGTTTATCCAGAGAAATCAGAAGCAACGCACAAAGGGGCAAGTTCAACGCATGAAGGGGGGAGGCCGAAGTCAGAGCTGCAGAAACAGCGTCAGAATGGGATTTAGGCGGAGTACCTGGGTCACTCAGTCAGTTACACGGCTGACTCGATCTCAGCTCAGGTCTTGATTTCAGGGTCATGAGTTCAAGCCCCACATTGGGCTCCACGCCCAGCATGGAGCATCCTTTATTATTTTTCTTTTTTGGAGCCTACTTGAAAAAAAAAAAAAAGAATTGGATTTAGGGGCAAGGGAAGGACACAAGCCATGTAGTTTCATAAGGATGGGCTCAGTTACACTGTCCTGACAACCAACCTCCAAACCCCAGCGGCTTAACACAACAGAGACTTATTATTTGCTAATGCAAAGTCAGCAGCAGGCCTGGTGTGGGGTGACTCATGGTGACTGTCTTCCATGAGGCAGTCTTGTTGCAGAAGTTATGATACATCTGGGGGATGGTGCAGGCTTTTCTTTGCTTCAGCTGGAAGAGAAACTTATCACTTCTACTCATACCTCACTGTCCACAATTAGTCAAACTGCCCCACCTTCTTTCAAGAGGACTGGTAAGTGTGGCTGTGCTGGATAGAATCCAAAAATGTCACCCACTAGGGGATGGGCTGAATGGGGGATGGGCATTAAGGAGGGCACTTGTTATGATGAGCACTGGGTGTTACACATAAGTGATGAATCACTAAATTCTACTCCTGAAACCAATATTACACTATACGCTAACTAACTAGAATTTAAATAAAAATTTGGAAAAAAAAGAATGTCACCCACAATCCCTCCCCTCCCTCTACATGGAGGTCACTCCTCTTGTCAATAGTGCAGCCTACTTCCCCTCTCCCTAAATCTGGGCTGGCATGGTGACCTCCTCTGACCAAGAGAATGTAGGAGAAATGACAAAGGTGCAGCCCTTAAGCCCTTCTGTTTTTGCTCTCTTGGAACCCAGCCTCCAACGTGGAGAGCGGCGTGAAGAACTAAGGAGCCCCCGCGGAGCTCCCAGCTGAATGCAGCAGCGTAAGCCACCTGTCTCACGGGGAATGATATGCATTGCTCATTCGACCCACAGAACCCAGAGAAATAACCCAAATGTCTATCTCTCACCAAACTGGCCCTTCAGCTCACTAAGCAATAGAAACAGACAAGAGGCAGGGGCACCTGGGTGGCTCAGTTGGTTAACTCTTGATTTCGGCTCAGGTCATGATCTCAGGGTTGTGCATGAGATGGAGCCCCAGGTTGGCCTCTGCACTCAGCACAGAGTCCGCTTGAGATTCTCTCCTTCTCCCTCTGCCACCCCCCTCCACGCCCCCACTCCCCATGCCCCTGCTCTCAAGAAAGAAAGAAAGAAAGAAAGAAAGAAAGAAAGAAAGAAAGAAAGAAAGAAAAGAAAGAAAAGCTCTCTTAAAAAACAGAAAAAAGAAATTGACAAAAGGCTAAATGGAGTCCCAGGCAAGGCTTTATTGGGGCTTTTGCTTGAGCACAAGGGAGGCAGAACAAAGAATCCTCAAGTGCGCTCGCTGAGAGGTCAGGCAGAGTTTTTTAAAGAAACTTAGGTGGCGGGAATGCCGTCCATTTCTGTGTCAGGAAGGACGCTGGGTTTGAGGTTGGCGATGAAGAGAATAACTACCACGACTTCCAGTGTTTTGATGAAACCTCAGATGCAAGGCCATGTGGCCAAGGGTCCGTGATTTCACATTGTTGGAGCCTTCGCTGTATCCCTGGGGGTTGCAAACTTCTATAAGTTTGCTGTGGCCAAACCAAGAAAGAAGGGCATATGAAGATTTCTATATAAATTATGATTCCATGAAAGATTTTGAAGAGGTGAAGAGGCTGGTATCTTCCTTCCAGAGTGCAAAGCGATTTGGAATGTAAAGAACTTCTTTGGGTTGAGTTCCATTGAAGTTTGTCAATGACCTGTATTCCTAAACAATGAAACGTGAATATTGGGTTATGGAATAGTTTCTCTTGATAAATAAACAACGAACAAATACTGTGGGGAGAAAAGAAAAAGGAAGGAAGGAAGGAAGGTAGGAAGGGGGGAAAGGGTGACATGGAAGCATGTAGACGTGGGATTCATTAGCACCTGTGTGCTTAAAGGTCATGCCTCTTCATGCATCTTCATGTCTAACTAGCAGGTTAAATCTCCACCCCTGAGCATGATTTTCACTATTATTATGAGGAGGAAAGTCGGTGAAAGGTCAGCAGTGGAGTCTGCTCACATCTTTGCCAGTCTTTGTAGCCCACATGCTCCTTTCAATAAGCATCTTCCCTTTGCACTTGCCCAAGATGCTACTCAAGAAGCACTGAGTTTTAGCTTTTTTTCTTCCTCTTGGAGGCAGCCAAAGAATGCTGGATTCTGCGGTCAGGGTTGAGGGGACCCAAGTCCAGTCCCTGCTCTGTCTCACATCAACTGATGATAAATAAATAAAACATGGCAAATCCACACAATGGAATATTATTTGGCGATTAAAAGGAATTAAGTACTGATACATGCTACAAAAAGGATGAACCATTTATACGAAATGTCCAGAAGAGACAAATCCATAGAGACAGAAAGTAGATCAGTGGTTGCCTAGGCCTGAGGGAGTTGGGAGGGGAAACAGGGTGTGACCGCAGTGGTTATGGGTGTTTTGGGGGATGTTGAAAATGTTCTAAAACTGACTATAATAATGGTTACACGACTCTGTGGATATTCTAAAAACCATTAAATTGTACATTTTAAATGGGTGGGTTGTATGATATGTGAATTGTATCTCCAGTAATGCTGCTTTTAAAAAAACCAAGGTTGGGGTGACTGGCTGGCTCAGTCAGTGGAGTGTGTGACTCTTGATCTCAGGGTTGTAGGCTGGAGCCCCATGTTGGGTGTAAAGATTACTTAAGAATAATTAAACCTTTTAAAAAAATTAAAATTAAAATAAAATAAAAACTGGATAGTTTTCAGTTACTGGGGAGGTTTTAAGTATGTCTTTAACTGTGTTTGGAGCAACTTCTTCAATTGTAAATTTTATGAAATCTAAATGCAGATCAACAGTTTCTGGTGAAAACTTAGCATACAAATTGAGCTGAGCTGTGAGTGTTAAATACACACTGGATTTTGAAGAGTTAGCAAGAAAATAAATTTTTTGTTATTGACTACATGTTGAAATGATAATACTTTGGCTACACACACAAATGTATTAATTTCACGTTTCTTTTTATTTCTTTTAATAGTGTCAATAGGAAATATTAAATACATATGTGGTTTGCATTATACGTTGTTTGATTTGCTCTTCACCATTAATTAGGGCCTAAAGCCTAAAGTTACATGTAACTTATAAATTTTGCCCAGTAAAAATACAAATGACTGGGGCGCCTGGGTGGCTCAGTTGGTTGAGCGACTGCCTTCGGCTCAGGTCATGATCCTGGAGTCCTGGGATCGAGTCCCGCATCGCATCGGGCTACCTGCTCAGCGGGGAGTCTGCTTCTCCCCCTCCCGCTCCCCCCTCTTGTGCTCTTTCTCTCTCTCACTCTCTCTCTCAAATAAATAAATAAAATCTTTAAAAAAAAAAAGAACTTGAAAGCCATATATTTAAAAAAAAAAATACAAATGACCGAAGACTAGCCCAAAGGTGTATTGCTCAGTTTGTCTCTAACTTAGTTGACTTACTCCATCATGCCCTTCCTGACTCTACCAATCTCTATTCTGCAAATGCTCTTTGTTTTGGGTTTGGTTTTTTTAAGATTTAATTAATTAATTTATTTATTTATTGACAGGGGAGGGGCAGAGGGAGAGAGAAAATCTCAAGCGGACTCAGCTCAGAGCCCACTTCCGGGCTTGATCACCTGACCCTGAGATCACGACCTGAGCCGAAATCAAGAGTCGGACACTTAACCGACTGAGCCACCCAGGCATCTTGTGAATGCTTTGAACCAGCTATATGGTAGGTCAGTTTCCTCACTGAGTTGAATAAACCTTTGACACATGTTTACTGTACAGTTGTATGAGTCATGTTTCAACTTTTTTTTTTAAAGATTTTATTTATTTATTTGACAGAGAGACAGAGAGAGAACACAAGTAGGCAGAGGGAGAGGGAGAAGCAGGCTCCCCGCAGAGCGGGGAGCCCGATGAGGGACTTGATCCCAGGACCCTGGGGTCATGACCTGAGCGGAAGGCAGACGCTTCACCGACTGAGCCACCAGGGGTCTCCATGTTTCAACTTTTTAAAATTATATTTAGTATGGTCCAACAAATTCAGATCACTTCTTTAATGTAAAATTTATAAATACTTGGGCCTGCTTCTTCCTCTCCACCTTGCTTTTACTCTCACTATCTCTGTTGCTATCTCTGTCTCTCTCAAATAAGTAAATAAAAATCTTTTTTAAAATTACAAATACTTCAAATAAAATGTCTAAAAGAAAAAGAAATTCACAGCCTTGTTACCCTAAGAAAATTTTGTATTCATTCTTACCGTCTCTCAATTTGTGACTATAACTTTTTCACATAGATGTAATTATAAAATGGATGCTATTTTGCATCCTCAATAGGTACGTGCATAAAAATCATAAACATTATTCATGTTTTTACATGTTCTTCATGATTATCATTTTTAATAGCTGCATATATTTCACTGGCTTTTGTGTTCTAACTTAACAACTTGCTGATCGTTGAGAATTTGGTTGCTTTCCAACTTTTTACTCTTACAAAGCATGCTACAATGAACATTTTCCACATATGTATGTATATGATCTTTTGCTTCTGTTTATTTCCTTAGGGCAGATTCCCGTGAGAGGGATTACTGAACTTCAGAGTGTGAACAATTTTAGGGCCATTGAAAGGCGCTGCTATAATGTGTCCAAAAAAAGGTTGTGACCATGTACACGACCACCACCAGTCCACTGATGTGCCCGTTTCCCAAAATGTCCCTACCCTGATGAAAGAGTGTAATTTCGTTTCTGTTTGTGTTTTGCTATAAACTATTCCATGCAAAATAGACTCTCAATTTAAATGCTGCTTATAATTTACTGTTTCCTATCTGAAGGAAAACGGGCGCTCTGGGGCACCTAACACAAGAATGATTCCTCAAGTGGAGCTCCCACACTGCAACTGAGGAACCCACCTAGCCGACTTCCACAGCCAACAGCCTTTGTTGTGGAGAAATGGATGAGCCCCAGCACGCTCGGCCTACAAAACACAGGACTGGAGCGAGATACTGGTGTGTGGGTAAAATCAGACTGAGTAATGAGTCAAGGATGAATGGAAACATGGAATATAGCTAGAGCACTTCTCCTGTAGAAGTTAAGAATGTGCTCAATAGGCACCATCCTTAAACACAGCGGCACTTGTTTGCTAGAGCTGACGTGGGAGCTTAAACAAAAACTCATTTTCTCACAATTCCGGATGGAGGCTGGATGTCCAAGATCACAAGGTGTGGGCAAGTTTGATTTCTACCAGAGCCTCTCTCCTTGACTTGCAAATGGCCCCATCTAGCAGTGGCCTCACAAGGTCATCCCTGGGTCTGCATTTAAGTCCTGATTACCTCTTCTTATATGAACCTGAACCATATTGGGTTAGGGTCTACCCTAATGACTTCATTTACCTTAATTACATCTTTACAGGACCTATCTATAAATATAGTCATCTTCTAGGGTCTGAGGGGTTAGAACTTCAATTTATGAATTGAATGAGGGGTGGGGGGCGACACACACACAATTTAGCCTATGACAGTAGTTTCTGCAATATTTGCTGCAACTTTGTAGACTTAAAAGTTGGTAAGGTTAAGTCCCCTGGAGGGGTCGTATTTATTAAATCACAATTAAAATAGGCACAAAATAATCAGGGAAAAAAAATCCCTCTTTACATTGTCCTGCAAAGAGCAGTAAAAGGAGATTAATCTCAGTAACTCTTTCCGTAATCCCCTTTCTCCCACCGCTGTCTGTCCACCTGCAGAAAAGCCACCTGCGCACCCAGCTCCCGGGCTGCTTCCCCCGACACACACACACTCACCCCCCGCAGGCCCCGGCGCTTCGGAACGTGGATTTAGGGAGCTCCTCACGCTCCCAGAGCGGCCTTTCCGGATGGGCCCCTTCCGTAAGTCCGCACCGCCCAGCGCAGGGCCGCGGGCCGGGATGCACAGCCGGGGGTGGGGGTCGGGGGGGCAGTGGGGCGAGCCGCAGGTGTCGCAAGCGCCGGAGGCCAACGGGCGCGAGGAGGCTGGCAAGGGACCGGGTCCGCCGCGGGGCCCCCGTCCCCAGGAAGCCGAGCATCCCCGGCACTCCCGCCGCCTCCCCGGGGCCCCTCCCGCCGGAGCGCGGGTCTCGCCGGAGCCCCGGGGGCGACACGGGCGGAGTCCTCCTCCTACACAGCCCGGAGCCCGCACCTTCTCCGCGGACAGATCCCCTCCGAGACTGTGGTCGGGACCGAGAGGAAAGGAAGCAAGACAAGCGGCCGCTAGATGTCCCCTTTGTCTCATCACAGCAGTGCAGGGCGCGGCCGGCCCCCCCAAGTTTCGTTGGTCCTCGGCTGTGGCCAGGAGACAGGCTTCGCGGCCACGGAGGTTCCCGGTGGCCCACCCCGCTCCGGTGGAAGCAAGTTTGGGGGCGTGGCGTCCTGTGCGAGCCCCACATTGGGTGTAGAGATTACTTACATTAAAAAAAAAAAAAAACTTTAAAAATTTTTATAAATAAATAAATTTGTTCTTTCTAGTCTCATTTGAACCGATTATAATGCCTGCGTGAGTCTCCCCTATGAGCAAAACAAAATCTTTAACTGGGATCATTTTCATATCTGTATGAGATTCATTTTACCTTTTTTCCGAAAATGATCTTTCAGCAATGTTAAGAGGTAGATTCACTGTAATGTTTAAGAAGTGTAAGCTTCAGGGGCGCCTGGGTGGCTCAGTTGGTTAAGCGACTGCCTTCGGCTCAGGTCATGATCCTGAAGTCCCGGGATCGAGTCCCGCATCGGGCTACGTGCTCATCAGGGAGTCTGCTTCTCCCTCTCCCGCTCCCCCCTCTTGTGCTCTTTCTCTCTCTCACTCTCTCTCTCAAATAAATAAATAAAATCTTTAAAAAAAAAAAAAAGAAGTTTAAGCTTCAGGACCTCTTCCAAGGCCCTCTACTTAATGCATTATTTTTCTTAAAGAGCGCCCCCCCCAACTTGTATAAGCTTCAGGCCCACCAAATCCATACCCCCCTCCCCCTCCCCCTGCTGACTGCCAGCTCCCTCAGCTCACATTGGGTAGTTGAAAGATTTTTATCTTTTTTGATTATTATTTTTTTAAGTAATCTCTACACCCAACCTGGGGCTCAAACTCAACAACCCTGAGATCAAGAGTCCCATGCTCTACTGACTGAGCCAGCCAGGAGCCTTAAAAGACCTTTTTTTTTTTTTTTTTCAAGATTTAGTTACTTATTTGAGGAAAAGAGAGAGTGGGGGGAGGGGCAGAAAAATCTCAAGCCGACTCCCCGATGAGTGCGGAACCAGTGCATGGGCTCAATCCCACGGCCCTGAGATCATGACCTGAGCCAAAATCAAAAGATGGCGGCTTAACCGACTAAGCCACCAAGTCACCCCAAAAAGATTTTTTTTAAGGTAAAATCATGACTCCCATAGAAATATAAAACAAAAAAAAAGAAATATAAAATGAACATGTTAACAACTCATTAATTAGTCCTATAGAGCAAAAATGTAATTTATAGAAATCACCTCCTTTCTACAGAGAACCCAATCAGATCGGTACAAGACAAAAATCATTTGCATTTCTATGAACATGGACCGTCTGCATCATCATCAGACTTCTGAGTTAACTTCTTTCCCCACAGAGTTGCAAAACAGTCAAAGATAATGAAGAATACTAACCTCTGCAGAGTCCAAAAACTCCAAGGAGGGTCCTCTAGTCTAGACAAATCCTAGTATTCCACTGGGAGAGATGCTCAGTATTCGCCATTTCAAAATCCTTCACAATTTTTCCTTAGCAAGAATTTGGGTAGCAAAAGTCACAAGTTGTTTCTTATTTCCTGAGTGTACTGTTTCCCACTGAGCCTCCCTCCAAGCCCTGTTCCTCTGTATCCTGGTGGCTGGCAACTTATGGAAATTCTTCCCAAGGCCTCCAAAGCAGTGCTTGCTTTTGGCTGGTTGCTGATGCAAACGAGGCCATGAATTCTGCCTGTCACTGTCCCCCCACCACCCGCTTGCTCTGGGGCCTTGACACCGCACTGCCCACAAGGGCCAGGTGATGAAGACTCTCTCTTTGACCAGACTACTGTGAGGTACTTCCCAAACTATGGATTGCTTTCTAGTGAAATAAGGGGCATCAAGTTCATTACTAAATTGTGTTTATTTTTGCCATTTGACACTCCTTACTTTCTCATTTTCTGCTTCCAGAGACTCCTCCCTTTAATCAGTCACTTAGTGGTTTTTAGGTTTGACTCTTCACCCAGCACATTCAACAGTCTCTAGGAGTACCTTCTCCCAAAATGTGCAGCCCTGACTTGAGACCTTTGGCATGCTATGTTCGATTTGTCTCTTTAGTATGGTTTCAAGACTATCCTAGCTCAAGCATGGTCAATGCCCAGCTCCTTTGCACTGTTACGGGAGTCTCTTGGCAAGCACTCCCATGTAATTCCTATTCTTTCTCATTGATTTATTTTTTTTTAAGATTTTGTTTATTTATTTGAGAGAGAGAGAGAAAGACCACGAGCAGGGTGAGGGGCAGAGGGAGAAGCAGACTCCCACTAAGCAGGGAGCCAGATGCAGGACTCAATCCTGGGGACTCCGGTCATGACCTGAGCCAAAGGCAGACACTTAACAGACTGAGCCACCCTGATGCCCCCCCTTTCTTAATATTGTACTTATTTATTTGACAGAGAGAGAGAGACAGAGAGCATGAGCAGGGGGTGGAGCAAGGGGAGAGGGAGAAGCAGGCTCCCCGCTGAGCAGGGAGCCCAACTCTGGGCTGGATACCAGGACCCTGGGATCATGACCTGAGCCAAAGGCAGACGCTTAACTGACTGAGCCACCCAGGTGCCCTCAATGATTTATTTTTTTATGTGCAAAACATTAACATGGTTCTGTTAAAAAGAAAACCAGAGACCCCAAATGGTGTTGTTTAGGTTAAGGCCCCAAGTCAGTAGACCAAACCGTACTGCCTAACTTAAAAGTAGCTTGAACCCCCCCAGAAATCTAACCTTTAACCAGTCAACAAAGGATTTCCTGGTCAGTACTAGGAATTTTACTGACAGACCCCTACCGTTCCTCTTAGGAGATGACCTTGTCTAAAAGAATAGATTCTTTGTTAATAATTTCCTTTTTCCCACTCCCTTTCTACCTTTAAAAAGCTTCCCTTTTCTGTAGCCCCTTGGAGCTCCCCTCTACTTGCTAGATGGGATGCTTCCCGATTCATGAATTGACTAATAAAGCCCATTAGATCTTTAAAATTTACTCAGTTGAAGGGTACCTGGATAGCTCAGTCGGTTAAGCATCTGCCTTTGGCTCAGGTTATGATCCCAGGGTCCTGGGATCAAGTCCCACATCGGACTTTCCCCTGCTTGTGCTCTCTCTCTCTCACAAATAAATAAGTAAAACCTTGAAAAAATAATAAAATTTATTCAGTTGAGGGGCACCTGGGTGACTCAGTCAGTTGAGCATCCAACTCTTGATTTCAACTCAGGTCTTGATCTCAGGGTCGGTGGTTTAAGCCCCATGTTGGGCTCCATGCGGGGCATAGAGCCTACTAAAAAAAAATTTTAAATTAAAAAAAAATTTACTCAGTTGAATTTTTGTTATTTAACGGTTACAAAAATCAAAACTAGGCAAAACGGTACACTCGGAGAAGTGACACTCCATCTCCTGTCTCTTTCACCCTAATCTTATCACCTCTTGTAGATAACCAATCTCATTAATTTTATCTTCCTGTGTGTTTCTGCAAAAATAATATAGTACGCATTCTTTTTTTTTTTTTTAATTTATTTGACAGAGAGAGAGTCAGCGAGAGAGGGAACACAAGCAGGGGGAGCGGGAGAGGGAGAAGCAGGCTTCCCACCGAGCAGGGAGCCCGATGTGGGGCTCGATCCCAGGACCCTGGGATCATGACCCGAGCCGAAGGCAGACGCTTAACGACTGAGCCACCCAGGCGCCCTTATAGTACGTGTTCTTATTTTATCTCCTTTTCTTACCAAAAAGGTAGCCTTGCTTTTTTTTTTTTTTCATTTAGCAAATATATCCTGGAAAAATACCTCAAATCAGTTAATACGAACTGTAGGGGAGGAAATATTTTTCCTTATTCTCTTCTAGGTTCTTAAACTGATGTAAGACAGATTAACAGGAAAAAAAACAAACAGAAGTTTAATGACATGTATACCTCCTGCACACAAGGAAAACTCCCTGAAATCGCTGAAGCCAGCACCTTAAAGACAAAAGAAGCTGTTGGGGGGGAGAAGTCAGTTACGGGAGGTGACCTAGAGAAGCACAGTAAACAAAAGTGAGGTTGTTATGCAGATTTACCTTGTGGCCTTCTCCATTCAGAAGTTTCTAGAGATTAGGTCACCTCCCTCTTCCGGGTACAAGTGAGGGAGACACCCTTACAAATGGAGATTTCCCTTATAAATGCAAATGCCTCTTACAAAAGGGTCAGTTTTCACATTTCTCTTCTGCCTGTAATTCCTTAAAAATAACCACTTTAAAATAATCAGTATGCCAGAGGCATACTTTGGGGTGGGATATTTTGCTCCCCTTCAAAGTCTTCACTATTTTTTTTACAGTTGCATAGGATTTCATTGTGTGAATATATCATAGTTTATTGAACCAAATGCCTGTATATTTGAACTTTTGGGGGTAGTTTCCAATATGTTGCAATTACAAATAATGCTGCAATTAAGTAATTTTGTGTACATGTATTTTTGTATCGTTAGAGCTCAAGCTTCAGGATCAGTTCCTAGACATGGGGTTGCCAGGTTAAATATTAACTGTGTATGTCGTTTTGTTAAGATATTGCCAAATTGCTCTCCATCAGAGTTATACCTTTTTGTATTCCCACCAACAATATCTGAGTACTTCTTTCCCCACAGCCTTGCCAAATCGAGCATATTATCAAATGAAGGGAAGCAGAACGTCACCCCAAATATGCCTCTTTGGCATAA